AACCCACGCCATCATCATCAGTTAGATTCCGATTTTTGGACCAATCAAACTACAAAGGTTCACCATCAAACTCACATGTACAAGCTGGACGCCTTGACTCCTTTCCACCAATGGTGTTTTTTGTTTCAAAGCAAGCATTAAACGACCTGCCCATGCAGTGGTACTGGATGCAATAGCATAACGAAGTCCCCATCGCGAGCCACCATTTTTTTTCCTATCGCACTGTCCATTGGTCGTTCATCAATCGGCTTTGTCCCCTCCGGAGCCATCGTCAACAGCGGGTTCTTCTCAGATCAGATCAGCCACGGCCGGTTGTTTCTTCTTCGCCGGCGACACACCGCTGCACCAGTTCTTCTTCGCCGGCGACGCAAGCCACCTTGCCCGCCAATTGTGTCCATAGCTGTCGCCACTCTCTGCTGTCGTCGAATCTACCGTCGCCGGATCTACTCTCTGCTGTCGCGACCGTCCTAGATGCTCTTTGCCGTCGTTGTTAGTTAAGCCGACTTTTGGTTGCTTAACAGAGACGCAAATCGGTTCTTTGAATATATATATATATATAATGAGTGACTTGAATATTATATATATTTAAAAAAAAAAAAAATGAGTGAAAAAAATATTGAATCATCTGGAGCAGACAAGTCTACCTACAAATGCACTTATTGCAATCAGACTGGTTATACCAAAAGTTGTTGTTTCAAACTTGTGGGATATCCAGAATGGTGGGATCATCGTCGTTGGAAGAAGAATTCAACGAAGACCTCTACTGCAGCAATTGTTAAGACAACAGATGATGGTGGTAAGGTTTTCAATATTTCTTCACTTGTTGCTAATAGTACATGGATAATTGATTCTGGTGCTACAGATCATATGACATTTGATTCTAGACAGGTCTCACTTCTTAATTCATCCTCACACAAATTTGTTTCTACTGCCAATGGGACTTCAAGCCCAGTTCTTTGGGAAAGATCTTTGCCACTCATTGATAATCTGCATTTAGATTCTGTTTTAGTTATTTCATCTTTAGATTCTAATCTTTTGTCAGTTTCCTAAATAACCACAACTTTATCTTGTGTTGTCATTTTTTGGCCTGATTTTTGTGTGTTTAATGACATCCAAACAAAGTAGACGATTGGTTATAGTATTAGGCGAGGGAAACTGTATTACTTGGACTTAATGTCCAAAAGTTCCGACAAGTTCCAACAAGCATTGAAAGTGGATGGTTCTGAGGGGGAGAAGAAAAAATTTGAAATCTGGCTGTGGCATCGATGTCTGGGGCATGTTTCCTTTGGTTATCTGAAAAATTATTTCCTAGTTTGTTTGCACAATTTGATGTTTCTAGTTTCCACTGTGATGTTTGTGAACTAGTAAAGAGCCACCGTGTTTCGTATCCATTATGTTTGCATAAAAGTCTACTTCCTTTTATGATTATACATTCTGATGTTTGGGGTCCGTCCAAAGTCACTACTTTAGGTGGATCCCGTTGGTTTGTTACTTTTATTGATGACTGTACCAAGATGACCTGATTGTGCTTGATGAAGTCCAATAGTGAAGTGAACTTATTGTTTCAGAAGTTTCATAAAATGGTTAAAACTCAATACAATGCATATGTTCAGGTTCTTCGTAGTGACAAATGGTGGAGAATGTCAGAGTTTTAACCTTCAGCAGTATTTGGAAGCACATGGAACTATTCATCAAACCACTTATTCCAATATACCCCAGCAGAATAGGGTTGCAAAGCGAAAAAATCGACACTTGTTGAGGTTGTTTGTGCTTCATTGATCGAAGCGCATATGTCATTATCGTATTGGGGAATAGCACTTACTTCTGCAGCATATCTAATTAATCCAGTACCTTTTAGCTCTATTGCCTTCTGGACACCATTACAGGTTCTCGCTGACGCAGTTGTTGCCCCAACAGTCCCAAATCTTCCTCATGTCTTTGGTTGTGTAGCATTCGTACACCTCCATAAGCATCAACGCAACAAGCTAACTCCTCGAGCATTGCGATGTGTTTTTCTCGAATATGCTACTTATCAAAAGGGGTATCGCTGTTATCACCCTCCAACTCAACGAATGTTTGTCACAATCGATGTTGTCTTTCATGAAGACTCGATGTATTTTTCCTCTGCGTCTGAATTTCAGGGGGAGTACCATAACGAAATTCAGACTCTAGATTATAATTATCACACTTTTAAGGATAGCGATTGTAGTGTTGATGACTCATAAGTTGGACCAACCAATCAGGAATCGAGCGAATTGGATTTGAGTGGTATAAGTTTGGATCAAAGTGGTGATGAACGCCCAGAAATGGAAAGTATGGCGCCAACCCCATCGTCGTTCAAGTTCGAGTCTCTCGCAACTGATATATCAAACCAATCGCCTGCTGAGGATGTTCCTGATTTAGTGCATAAGCCACTCAGAAAACAATTACCACCGCGTCACACTAGAGGTATTCCTAAACCCACATATGAACCCGAACTTTCTAGTAAAGTTAAGTATCCCATGAGCAATTATGTGTCGAACCATTGTTTGTTAGAATCAAAATTTTCATTTGTAAATCAATTATCTACTGTATCTATTCCTAACAGTGTGCAAGAAGCCTTAACTGACCCTAGATGGAAAGCAGCTATGAACGAGGAGATGAAATCCTTGCAGAAAAATGAAACTTGGGAACTCATTGATCCTCCACCAGGAAAGAAACCAGTTGGATGTCGATGAATTTACACTGTGAAGTATAAAGCTGATGGCACAGTTGAACGTTTTAAAGTAAGATTGGTGGCAAAAGGTTACACCCAAACCTATGGAATCGATTACACAGAGATGTTTGCACCTGTAGCCAAAATCAACACAGTTCGAGTCTTGTTGTCTGTAGCTACGAACTTGGATTGGCCATTGCAACAATTCGATGTGAAGAATGCCTTTCTGCTTGGTGAATTATCTTTAGAAGTCTACATGGATCTCCCACCAGGATGTATGATACCCGAAAAGTATAGTCGGAAGGTCTGCAGGTTAAAGAAATCATTATATGGGTTGAAACAATCTCCAAGAGTATGGTTTGGAAGATTTACAAAGTCTATGATAGCCTTTGGCTATCATTAGAGCAATTCAAACCACACGTTATTTCTGAAGAAACAACAGGGTAAGATCACTGTACTCATTGTATATGTAGATGACATGGTGGTTACAGGGAATGATCCTGAAGAAATGAAGGCTCTTAAGAAGTACTTGTCCAGAGAATTCGAAATGAAAGATCTAAGTCCTTTGAGATATTTTCTTGGGATTGAAGTATCTTGATTTAATAAAGGAATCTTTTTATCTCAAAGAAAATATACCTTAGATCTGTTACAAGAGACTGGCATGACAGCAAGTTAACCAGCTGAGACACAAGTGGAAGAAGGACTGAAGTTATGTGTTGAGTCCGATCAAGTACCTCCTAATAAAGGAAAATACTAAAGACTTGTGGGGAGATTGATGTACTTAGTATACACAAGACCGGATCTGACTTATGCATTAAGCATTGTTAGCCAGTTTATGCATGATCCTGGAGAGCAACATATGAATACAGTTATGCGCATTTTGAGGTATTTGAAATTTACTCCTGGAAAAGGAATTTTGTTCACTAAAAATGCTGGTTATCAAAACATAGATGCATATACTGATGCTGATTGGGCTGGAGCTATAGATGATAGGCGATCTATTTCTGGTTACTTTACTTTTGTAGGAGGTAATCTTGTTACATGGAGAAACAAGAAACAAAATGTTGTTGCTCGCTCGAGTGCAGAAGCTAAATTCAGAGGTATGGCGCTTGCACTTTGTGAAACATTATGGTTAAGACTTCTCTTGCGGGATTTGAGTTATCTATAGGCAACCTATTCGACTATATTGTGACAATAAAGCAGCATGTGATATTGCCTATAATTCAATCCAACATGATTGTACGAAGCATGTTGAAATAGACAGATTCTTCATTAAGGAGAAGTTGAATGGAAAAATTGTGGAGTTGCCTAAGATTCGATCTGAGGATCAACTAGTCGACGTTCTCACCAAAGCAGTCTCAAATCAAGTGTTTTCAAAATTTTTAGACAAGTTGGGCATGTGTGACATCTATGCACCAACTTGAGGGGGAGTGTTGATATTTTATCTCTTATAATACAGCTGTAGGATTGAATTATTTATTCCTTGATTTAGGGCTAATTGGTAGGTAATTAGTTACCTATTTTAGTTAGGTCCTATTCTATAAATTGGATGTAACACCATCAATGAACATACAGAATATAATTTCAATCCTTATATTTTTCTCTGAATTAAAACAAAATTTGGATACCAAATCAAAAATGACTTTGAAATTTAGAGTACAAAAAGATAAATATTATTGAACAATCACGTTTCACCTAAAATTTCTTCCATACCAACTCTCATGGGCAATTTGTCAAGCAAAATGATTTATATGTTGAATGTTCTTTTGGAAATTGACACGGGGATATGTATATGGTGTTGTTTTGCTGTGTCTAAGATGGTGCGATGTGTTTTTTATTTGTAAGTATCGTTTGGCAGGTTAAAAATAATAATAATAATAATAATAATAATTTGTTTATAAAAAATTTCATTTGATATTTTTTCAACCTTGGTCAAACAGTGACGATGGAGATTGGTTTGAATGGGAGTAGTAAGGAGAAGGGTTCGAATGGAAATGGAATATATGAGATGGGTATAATTGTCAAACAAAAATTTATTTAATAGGAAAATGACTTTTAAAAAGTGCACTCACCAAACTATTTTTTTTTTGAAAATTGGTGTTTAGAATCTCCCCAAACACCACCTAAATTTCTACACTTTTCAATAACAAAATTATAATGATAATTTTGATTAAATCATCTTGAAATTTATAAATGCATTTAAGCAAGGCTGAGGCTAAATGTAATGACAAGTGAAGAAATAATAATAACATAGAATTTTGGGTTTGATTAATAAATATATAAATAGTTTATATTTATATTAAGTATGCTCACATTGTATCTAGTCCATCTTACATAGATCCCCGAGATGGTTCTTTGACTTGGTTTATAGTTCCGTGAGTTACTTGAATACAGAGATGGGCAAGGACTGGTTTCCTCACCTATCATTTGTCATAAATTGAGGCGGTTTTAAATCTTCCTCACCCTTCAACCAATTATGGCTTCTGATCTCAAAGGTTCTTCTTTTTTTATTTCTTAGTTAATTGAGTTGATGATACTCAATTACAACTTCCTGTCTGTCTCTATTAACAATTTTCTTCTCTTTATTGCATACGTTTCCCTTTGTTTCTCTGTATTTTGTGTATGGATTGGATTATAAACTTCCTCTTTTTTTTTTCATTTACAGGAACAGCTGTTGTGATTATGGGTGTTAGTGGCGCTGGGAAATCGTGAGTTCTTATAAACCCCCCTCTTAAATTCTTTGATTTGGAATTTTATTTATTTTATTATTATTATTATTATTTTTACGTAATATAATCATCTTATACGTGTTCTTTGCCGTCGTTCTCATTTTCCAATCAACATTCCTCTGTTTTATTTATTTATTTATTTATTTTTATTTTGTGAAATTATGCTTTATCTGATATAAAAAAAAGAATAGGAAAATAATTTCTTGCTGACCGATGTGCATGGAATTTATCCACACCAACCATAATGACTTTTGGATACCAAAACAACATAGCAATTATATCCAACGGAGAAGATAAGTATTAAGGAAACAATTTAAGAGAAAAAAAATGAAACATATATAGATTTTTATAAAGAATGAGAAAATTGGGGGGGGCACTTTTCATATTTTCATTAAAAAATATATATATTATTATAAAATATATATAGAATATAAGAGAGGGAGAAAATCCGGGGGCACTTGTCCGCTTGGTCCTTAACCGCCTCCATTCCTGGTTCTGATGGGGCAAGGGATACATCGGATGTGTGCAATCACTGCAAATCACACATCATTTAAATTCAGGCGTTTTTATATTCGAGTTTATTGTTTACCCCCCAGATACCCCACGGGTTACTTTTGGGGTATTTGGTTGCTATATGAAATTGTCTTAAAACTTTTTGTTGAAGGAAATTATAAATGCTTCCCTTTCACACACTGTCTACCACTTTATACAGAACTATGCAGCAAGGAGAAGTTTTAAGTTTTCTTTTCAGTATTATTTCTTGCAAGCCAAATTTGGTTGCATGTGGTGAGGAAGCTTTTTATATTTTCCCTTTTTGTGTAATTTGTTTCTCTAAAAAATCATTTTCCAATCCAAGCAGGCTAAGAGAGGTACAAGAGGGGCCCTAATTTATTATGCCATTACAAATCCTGTCTCTGACATCTGAAGGGACTTGGTTGATATGAATAAGGCACTCACTAGCTTGAAAGAAGCATCTGAAACGATATATCTATATATATATATATATATTTAAAACAAAATTGTGAATGAGCTTCTGCGGTCAATACCAAAAACTAGCAGCTTCTAGCACAACGCAACCATATTCACCCATAAAATTGGATTGGATTTTAGCAAAATACTTAAAACGGCTTTAGTATGCAGTATTTTTTTTTTTATGCCATTGAAAAAAGAAAGGAAAAAAAAAAAAAGATGCTTCCTTCCCATCAAGTGGCGTATAATTATTTATTTGGTTTAGGTTTTGAGCTGATAAAATATTATCTTCATTGTTGCAACCTTTCATAAAGGTCCCCTTCTTTCAAGGAACTAATTTCTAGAAAGAAAATAACCGGCCTCGGTGACATGATATTGGATTAAATACAAAGATTATTTTTTCCTTCGCATTTCTTTGTTTGTTTACTTCCAATAATTCTAGTTTCTTCTTATGAAATCATGTGTTGTGCTTGTACTTTGACAGCACAATAGGTGAGATGCTAGCAAAAGTTATAAATTGCAGTTTTCTTGACGCGGATGATTTTCACTCTCAATCAAGCAAAGGTAATAATTGATTAATTTTAGTGATTTTATTTAGAATTGGAGTTTTAATATTCTGCTAAAAAAAATTTCATTTATTTTCTTGTTCAACTTTTTTGAATTGGTGATTTGTGCAACAAAAAAGACAGAAAAGATGCATAAAGGAATCCCTTTATCAGAAGAAGACCGTACTCCATGGCTTGAAACGCTACGAGATGTCCTAAGAGCAAGCTTAATTGGTGGAGAAAATGTAATTCTTGGGTGTTCTGCTCTGCAGAAACGGTACAGAGAAATTCTTAGATCTGCTCACACAAACTATGAACCGGGAAGCTATGTTTCTGTTGTGAAGTTTGTTTTGTTGGATGCTCGGGCTGAGGTTCTCTCTGATCGTCTAGAGAAAAGAGCAGCAGAAGGGAAGCATTTCATGCCTGCTTCGCTCTTGCAATCTCAACTCGATTTGCTTCAGATTAATGAATCTGAGGGGATACTTAAGGTTGATGCTACATTAAGTCCTCAGACAATTGTGGACACCATAAGAGCTTTGATTTTCTGAAGCAAGAATTTACCACAGGTGAGAATTTGTTACCATATTAAAATGATTTTTTTTCCCAAGGATCATGTTGAAGTGGTGTCTTTGGTTTATTTAATGTAGAAAATGAAAATGATTCCTGAGAAATAAATACTTTGATGAATTTGATCCTAAAATCCTAAACTTTGGAGTCATTTATCTTGTCTCGAGCATAAGAAATATTGACTTTGTTAAAAGCAGATTAATGAAGGAGAATGGTTTTTTTTTTTTTTTTTTTATCATATTTTTTTTCTTTTACAAGTCCTTGTGACATAAATTCTGAAATATAGGCTAATTTTCTCCACGGTTCAATCTTTCGTAGAATATGCTAATTCAACACCGATTGAAATGGCCATCAATGCTTTTGATATGATCTCATTGTCTAAACAAAACAGCTGAACTTGCTGATTGATTCTTGATTTAAGCGGAAATTATGAATGTTCACGAGCAATGATAAACAATTTTGAATCCATAAAGTTATGAGATATATTCGCGGAGAAAATTTGATGTTGTGTTCATAATTGAATAGATGATTGTACTCTCTTCATTATATGTATTTATAATGAAAGAATTAACTACTGTAAAACTTTATAAGGGAAACCTAATATCAAAAGGAAACTAACATTTAAGCATAAACCTAAAAATAAAGTTTGAAAAAAAATAGAGTAAGAAACTTAACCAATAAAAATTACTAAATATAAAAATTGAGAGCAATCCGAGTTCGTTTAGGCAATGAACGAAAATTTCAAAATAATTAACAGCTAAAAGATGTATTTCGGTCGAAAAATGGCGTACGTCACGACGTAGCAGCGAGTCTTGCTTGTTAGACCATTTTTAGCCCCCCAAAAAAAAAAAACAAAAAGTGAAAAACAGACACTTCGGGAACGGTTCAGAAAATCTGTCAGCACGCCCATTTAGCCATTTGGCAATTCAATCAGGCTATATTGGCTTCAACAATCAGTTCTATGCTTCTTGTACCTTCTAATACGAGGATAATTGCTCAAAATTGTTAGTAAATTCATTCTCTTAATTGAAATTGCTTCATGCGTCTCATAATTTGCATCACTTCAATAATATATATCATCATAACTTCCCTGACATTAAGGATAGTTACTCAAAATTTATATGGAATTCATTCTCTAAAAATATAAAACTCAACTGCTACATTCTTATCATTGTTTGCATCACTTATAACATCACTAGCCTTGCATCCAGTCATATGTATTGGTTCTACTTGTGGTTGAAGAAATGGTCAAGCTGCATTTTGCACTATGGAACATTGATTAGGGAAGTGGATGTTAGATCTCTGGTCCCTTTGAATGGAGCAGTAAAAATATAAAATAAAATAAAATTAAAACTAAAAAAATAAATAAAAAATGGAACTTTGTTAAGCATAATCTTGTAGTGTGTTTGTTGTTGATTGATAAGTCAATTAAGTGGATATTTTATGCCCAACTAGTTATCAATTAAAAGAGAAACGTCACTTGAAATTGTTGTTAATGTTAAATGTGTTGTGTGGAAGTTAAAAGGACAAACCCAACTTAGTGGGCGAGGCTCCTACCATTGCCGGGGTTTGAAAAGGGTAAGATATATGCCGTCTTTATCCAGGTTTGAGAATGGTAAGATATTTGCGGAGTGGTTGTTTATGTGTTGTTGTGTGTAGTCTGATTTTCGAATTTGATTAGAAAATACTAGTTTTACTATAATTGAGCTATTTAAAGCTTTCAAGAAGGCTGGAAAAAAAAAAAAAAAAAAATCAAACTGATATATATATATATATATATATATATATATATATATATATATATCTGGTAACAAAAAATCAAGCCACTTTAGACTCTCCAAATGGTTCACAAAACAAAAAAAATGAAGAGCAGACTCTTTCTCGACTTCTTCGTTGATCTTGGGACTTATGCTATTTGTGGTTGGAGGGATGGATTGAGGAGGGATAAATGAAGTTTTTCGTATTTGGTTGGAGGAAAGGGAAGAAAGAGAGGAAGCAGGGATGAAGTATCCCTCCTTTCTTTAATAATTTTCTATCCGCCCAATTTTGGGGAAGGGAGGATAGAAAAAGTGAATAACTACCTACAAATATACAATTTACAATTTTAACCTTTTCAAATAATTCAAATGAATATCTACCCTTTATTATTTTATATGGGGGGTATATTGGTATAAAATATAAAAACTCTTTTTTCATTCATTCCAATCAAAAAAAAAAAAAAGAATTCATCTCATCTACCCTTTGCTACTATCTATCCATTAAACCAAATAAAAAATTCGAGAGACATTTTCCCTTCAATAGAATTCCTCATCCATCCGTCCCCATATTTTTTCCATCTATTTTTTCATCACTCCAATCAAATGAAGTATTAGGTTTGCAGAGGCATGCACATATTATAGAAAGGTGAACAAAGCATTGTTTGAAATTGCCACCAAATTTCAGTTTATTTTCCAATTAACACAATCACTGTTCTTATAACCAAACAATTTCAAACTAGCAAGTGAAAAAACAAGATGAAACTTTTAGTGAAAAAGACTTCATCAATTTTTTTGTCGCTTGTCAATTTCACTTTTTTTTTTTAATTTTTAATTTTTATCATTGCGAAGGCGCAAAGGTCGAGCCAACATATGGAGGCAAAAGCCAAGTCAGATAAAAGCATACAAATCTTGAAGCAAAACAAGAAAAAATGACGAACAGATTACAAATTTGTTGAGAACAAAAGTTAGAGCTCAAGAACGGAAATTACCAAGGGAGAAGAACAGCAATAGGAGAGACCCTAATGCTTGGCCATCATAAGGCAACAACTCCAAAGTTACAACCACAAGGCGCCTCCGACCGGGGAATAACCACCCAAACTCGAACAAAATCAAATTAAGTCGGGAACAGCCAAAACCGACATAGATCAAAGATCTAGCCGGAGAGAAAATAGCAGATCCACCCATACTAGCCGGAAAACAAACCAAATATGAGTAGATCTACCCAAACAAAAGTAAAAACGACATGAAAAACACACACAAAAGCAAACTTATTGACACACGCCGAGTTTATTGAAGCTGTGGGAGGCAAAAATAGCACCTCCCCACTCCCATGGAAAGGAGTAGGAGCAGGAGAAAAACGAGGAAAATAAGGGATTTTTGCACACAGAAAGTTAGAGAGAGAGACTTAGGGCCCCGTTTGATATGCGTTGTGTTCTCGGGTGTTTTGTTTTAGCGTAGAATAGAACAAGTGTTTTGTATAGGGTGTTCTGAAATGAGAACAAAATATGTTTGGCGACTAAAATTTGTAGTGAGAATTTTGGAACAGAAACATGGTATAATATGTTTGGTAGTATTTTGTACTTTCTAAAAATATCCCTAAATTTAAAGATATGGGTTTTGATTTTTTCAACAATCTGAAATTATATGCTGACATGGGTTTTGATATAGGTAATAGGTTTTGAACTTTTGATTCTTGCAGACAGATAGATAAACTGAAATATATGGGTTTTGAACTTCTGATTCTTGTAGATTTTGTAGTTTGCAATTGCAGAGAGAGAGAGAGAGAGGGCAACTTCAGAGTTGAGAACGAGAATAGAGATGGAGGCGGGTTTTGAACTTTTGATTCTTGTAGATTTTGTAGTTTCCAGTTGCAGAGAGAGAGAGAGGGCAATTTCAAAGTTAAGAATGAGAATAGAGTTGGAGGTGGGTTTTGAACTTCTGATTCTTGTAGATTTTATAGTTTGCAGTTGCAGAGAGAGAAAGATGGCAAGTTCAGAGCTGAGAACAAGAATAGAGATGGAGGCGGGTTTTGAACTTCTAATTCTTGTAGATTTTGTAGTTTGCAGTTGCAGAGAGAGAGAGAGGGCAAGTTCAGAGTTGAGAATAGAGATGGAGGTGATTGGGAGGATGAAATGATTTGCCCTATTTTTTTTTTTTACCCCCACTACAGTGAAAAATGGGCTTGGAACAACATAAAACACTAATTTTCTGTTTCAGTTTTTAGGCCCAATAATGGATTTGTTCTGATACTGTTGGGAATAAAACTAGTCCAGACAAACATGAATTGGCCAGAAAATTGTCATTGTAGCACTTTTGGAACAAAACAAAACATTACAGAACACATACCAACACAAGGCCTTGATTTCTGTTTTTGAATCTATTCATAAGCATGTGCATTTAATTGTCAATTTCACTACGGTAACTTTAATCATAACTTGACATTTCAAACACATTTGTCAATTTCACTAGGTAACTAATAAGAACTTGACATTTCAAACACATTCATCTCCCATTGAGATCTTCTACTACTTTCTACAAAATAATACTAATAATAATAATAATAATCGTAAATTAAATTGTTGTGTAAAACCATCTTATATAGCCAACTGGCAAAATGTCGGAAACAAAAGCAAGGAAATTATGTTAGGGCAATGGGTATTGGGCTCTTTAAATTTGTAAATGCAGAGAACCACATCAGCAAATTGGGCTGACATAGCTCTCCACAAATGCAGAGAGCTTCTATGGTATTAACCACTTTCTTATTATTTTATTTTATTATAATTTTTTTTTTTTATAAAATAAATTTAAAACTTATTTGTGAATTTCATGAAATATTTGTGGAATAAATTTAGCTAATATTGAATTAAATATAATTTTCGTATTGTTTGTGATGAATAAAATATTATTTTTTAACTTTTTGTTTGTCATATATTTGTTGACAAATTTAAAGATTATATATATATATTTGAAAAGGAAAAGTGCTCTTTTAAATTTTTTTTTAAAAAATCATGAGGTAATGAAGCAAAGAGATAAAAAAAAGAAAAAGAAAAGGAAAAGAGCACTTTTTAAAAAAAGAAAATAAAAAAAATGAGCAAAGGTGGGTAGAGGGTGAGTGCAAGGGCTCTTTCATATTTTTTTTTAAATTTTAAATTAAGCTTTTTGTTTCTCGCTAGTGAGCTCGCCTTGATTGCTTTTATGACTTGGGGCCCACATGTCAAGTAGTCCCACACCATAGGTTACGGCTAGGGGTGGCAAATGGACGGGTTGAGCTGGATTGAAAATGGGCGGGTCAAGCATGGGTCAATACCAATATTCAACCCGTTCAAGACAGGTTGAAAATAGGCGGGTCAAAAATGTATAAGGCCAATCTGTTATGACCCGTGAGCCCATTAATTATTATTTTTTAACTATTTTTTTAATTACTATTTTTAAATTTTTTAAATTTTAATTATTAATTTTTTTAAAATTTTAATTATTTTTTATTTTCAATTTATTTTAATTATCTTTTAATTTATTTTTTTTCGAAAGGTTTTAAAATTTATTTAATAACAAATAAAAAAAAAAAACAATCTCAAACCCAGCAAATTGTTTTAAAGAGAGAGAAGTGAAAGAAATAAAAGAAATTTCTAAAGAGAGGGGATTGATGAAAGACAAATTTAGAGACAGAGGATCGTGAGTGAGAGAATTTTAGAGAGGGAGAAATGAGTTGAGTGTAATATATAGATGCGTTATGTGTGTTTATTATGTGATGGGTGAAATATGGATTGAATATCGGTATTCATATTCAACCCATCTTGCTCCTTAAATTAAGTGGTTAAAAATTACCCACTCATTTTAAATATTGTTCACCCAAAACTATTAAAAAGCGGACGAATATGGACAAATTGAAGGGTTATGACCCATTTTGCCACCCCTAATTGTGACCTATGGGTCGTCATCATTGTATTTATGGTTCACCCAAAACTATTAAAAAGCGGATGAATATGGACAAATTGAAGGGTTATGACCCATTTTGCCACCCCTAATTGTGACCTATGGGTCGTCATCATTGTATTTATGATTTTATCATGTTAAATGATAAAATGATTGTATTTATTTTTATTTTTATTTTTGTCAATTATGATAATATACAACCTCTTAAAACATTCAAAAATTAACCACCATACATATATAAACTCCAAAAATAAGTATATTTTTAATAATAAATCAATGTTAGATCTAGCTGGATAGTTAATATTTTGTAGGTTGATGATACATATAAAAAGGTGAATTCAAATATTCCCACTATAATAACTTTTGGAAAGGATTTAATAAGTTGAGCAATTAAAAAAAAAAAATTATTGTTTAATTTTATTTTGTCAAATATCTCAAAAAAAAAAAAAAAAAAATGGTTGGTGTTTTCAATATATGATATATCAAAAAAAAAAAAAAAAAAAAAAAAAAAAACCTTCATTATAATAAGGGTGTGAGGGATAATCAAACTTGTGGCCCAATTATATTGGCCCAATTAAACTGAGGGTTCAAATATATATCACGAGAGCAAAAATCTTTATCAAACCCAATAAAATTATCACATTGCCCTTCAGGGAAGGCTGAATCTTAATTTAGCCAGCGGTTCTGACCCAGGGTATTTTTGTCAAACCAACTTCCTACGGCTATAATCTCGAGACCGACTAGCCGTTGCAATACTCAGAGATTCTGTAAGCAACGGGCACACCAAGCTAAATAGGAAACCCTAATTTTTGCAATATATAAAGCTGTCTATTCAGTGTGATATTCCACCATCGCTCTCTCTGATCAATACTAGCTAAAAATCAACGAAGCCCCTGGCAATTGATTTTTCATCGTGTTACTCTCTTTATCTCACTATTTTCTCTCTCTAAAACTCTATTTCTTTAATCTGGTTTTCTGTTTTGCAGGGTTTTCTTTTTTTTTTTTTTTTTTTTTTCTTTTTGGCCCTTTTGATTTTGTAGGCATCTCTTTTTTTGTGCTAACGTTATGGATGCAGGATCTAGGAGGATCTCTTCTTCACGCTTAATTTGCAAGACACAGTCTCGATGCCCTCTTCAAGAACAGTTTATGCAAAGGAGAAATGCTCGAGAAAACGTATGTAAAGCAGACATATTCTCTCATATAGTCATATGTACTCGATTCATATTTGGCACGAGTTTTGCTTGATGATCTAAATGTAGATGGGTTTTTCACCTTCATCAAATTTTGGGTTTTGTCTCCCAATTTTATATGTAAATGTTGGGTTTATTTCTGACATGATTTTGAAATTATGGTTGATCTGCTCTTGATATCATATCCAAATTAGGGTAAATGTTTGGAACAAGGATTCATATTTGGCATGAGTCTTGCTTTATAATCTAAATTTAGATGGGTTTTTCACCTGCATCAACTTTTTGGGTTTTGTTTCGCAATTTTATATGTAAATGTAGGGTTTATTTCTGACACGATTTTGAAACTAGGGTTGATCTGCTCTTGATATCATATCCAAATTAGGGTAAATGTTTGGAACAAGGATTCATATTTGGCATGAGTTTTGCTTTCTGATCTAAATTTAGATGGGTTTTTCACCTGCATCAAATTTTGGGGTTTGTTTCTCAATTTTATTTGTAAAATTAGGGTTTATTTCTGACATGATTTTGAAATTAGGGTTTATCTGCTCTTGATTTCATATCCAAAATAGGGAACAAGGATTCATATTTGACATGCGTTTTGCTTTATGACCTAAATTTAGATGGGTTTTTCACCTGCATCAAATTTTGGGTTTGGTTTCTCAATATTATATGTAAATTTAAGGTTTATTTTGGACATGATTATGAAATTAGGGTTTATCTGCTCTTGATTTCATATCCAAATTATGGTAAATATTTAGAACAAGAATTCTTGCTTGGTTGTTAGAACAAGAATTCTTGCTTGGTTGTAGAACTAGGGTTTTTTTTCATAATTATATTTCTGTAGCTAGGGTTCTCTTAAAACTATGGTTTTTTGCATAATTATATTTCTGTAGCTAGTGTTCTGTTTTTAATACAAGCTCTAATTATATTTGTATGCCTCACTGGTTCTTATTGTGAGTTTCTTCCTTGTCATCGTTGCAATTCTCTTCATGTTTAATTTGTTTGGAAATAGGGTTTTCTTCATAATTGGATTTATGAAGCAATGATTTTGTTTAATACATTTCCTGAAATTCACATGTTTATGTTGAACTCATTGTAATTTTCTTGTTTGCGTCAACAGTTGGATAGATTCATACCAAATCGGTCTGCAATGGATTTCGACTACGCGAATTACATGCTGACCGAGGGGAGGAAAGGCAAAGAGAACCCAGCTGTGAGCTCTCCATCCAGGGAAGCATACCAGAAGCAACTGGCAGAAACCTTCAACATGAACCGGACCCGTATACTGGCTTTTAAGAACAAGCCCCCCACTCCTGTTGAGGCTATTCCCTACAATTTCTCCTCATCTGTTCACCAGTCCAAACCAATAAAGCCCCGTCGGTACATTCCCCAGGTGGATACATATTCTAATCTTTTATTGATAATTACGCCTTTTGAAATTCATGGTATTAAAGAATTAGTTGAATTTGGATTTGGAATGGGTACTGGAAAGTGAACAAGATGCTCCCAATATTGAGTGAACTTGAAAATGATCAAAATCAATTATAAGGATGTTTGGGACATTACCAATTACACAAATTTATTACCTGTTTAGTTAGAAATGTTGTTGCTTTGGATAATGTGTCGATTGTTGAATTTGAAGTGGCTAGTGTGAACTTAGTAGTTTGGTTTGATAGCTTGGACCCCTGCTTTTAATTAGAATCTCCTTGTGTCTTTTGTTTTTGCAATTAGGATATATTGAATGGATGTTCTTAAGCATGATCCTTATAATTGATTTTGAATGGTTGATGATTACTACTTGAATTTATTAGATTGGGGTAGCGGCAATGTAATGTGTCTTTTGAAATTCATGGTATTAAAGAATTAGTTGAATTTGGATTTGGAATGGGTACTGGAAAGTGAACAAGATGCTCCCAATATTGAGTGAACTTGAAAATTATCAAAATCAATTATAAGGATATTTGGGACATTACCAATTACACAAATTTATTACCTGTTTAGTTAGAAATGTTGTTGGTTGGATAGTGTGTGGATTGTTGAATTTGAAGTGGCTAGGGTGGACTTAGAAGTTTGGTTTGATAGCTTGGACCTCTGCTTTAAATTAGAATCTCCTTGTGTCTTTTGTTTTTGCAATTAGGATTTATTGAATGGATGTTCTTAGGCATAATTCTTATAATTGATTTTGAATGGTGTGTTAATGTGGTTTTGCAGACTTCTGAGAGGACATTAGATGCTCCCGATCTGGTTGATGATTACTACTTGAATTTATTAGATTGGGGTAGCAGCAATGTTCTTGCCATTGCTCTTGGAAACACGGTATATCTATGGGATGCTTCTGATGGTTCTACCTCAGAACTTGTCACCCTTGATGATGAAAATGGACCAGTGACAAGCGTAAAATGGGCTCCTGATGGCCGACACATAGCTGTTGGCTTAAACAATTCTGAAGTACATCTTTGGGATTCTACAGCCAATCGACAGGTTTATACTCTTTTTACATATTTTCTTGTTACCTACCTATTCTTTTTACCTCCCTTTTTAAATTCTGTTTTGCTAATACTGTGTTTAACTATGGTGTAACTTCTGCAGTTAAGAACTTTGAGAGGTGGTCATCAATCACGAGTTGGGTCCCTGGATTGGAACAATCATATTTTGACAACAGGAGGAATGGATGGTCAAATCATCAACAATGATGTAAGAGTCAGATCACATATAGTTGAAACCTATAGGGGACACCGTCAAGAAGTTTGTGGGTTAAAATGGTCAGCCTCAGGCCAGCAATTAGCAAGTGGGGGAAATGACAATCTCCTCCATATATGGGACAGATCAGTGGCGTCTTCTAATTCCCCAACGCAGTGGCTTCACAGGCTCGAAGACCACACAGCTGCAGTGAAAGCACTTGCTTGGTGCCCATTCCAGGGTAACTTGCTGTCCTCTGGTGGCGGAGGAGGTGACAGGTGTATAAAATTTTGGAACACCCACACTGGAGCATGCTTGAATTCGGTTGACACAGGCTCTCAGGTCTGCTCTCTGTTGTGGAACAAGAATGAGCGTGAGCTACTTAGTTCTCATGGTTTTACTCAGAATCAGCTCACTCTTTGGAAATACCCATCAATGGTGAAAGTAGCAGAGCTTACTGGTCATACATCCAGAGTTCTTTTCATGGCTCAAGTAATAACTTAATCTGAAATTTTTTATTTTCTGAAAGTTTGTTGTTAACAGTTGGCATTTATTTTCTTCTTTTGTTGTATGTCATATTCTGATTTCTCTTGTCTAATAATTCAGAGCCCGGATGGATGTACGGTTGCTTCTGCAGCAGGGGATGAAACACTGAGATTTTGGAATGTTTTTGGGACTCCTGAAGTGGCAAAACCTGCACCAAAGGCAAACCCGGAGCCATTTGCTCACTTAAACCTAAACCGGATTCGTTGAGTGTCATTGGAAAAGAATTGGTTGAGGTCTCATACACAAGATCATTAAACTTGTCAACGAGGCAAACCTGGAACCAGCTCACTTCAAACGAATTCGTTGAAGATCATTAATGTTTGGTATGATGGATTGCAAACATAATCTCGTATTATTCTCAAACTAAACTAGTTGCAGGTAAACCACCATTTCTTCTAAACTTGTGCAATTCTGTATAAAAGAGAGACTGTGTTATTGTTGACTAACACATCTTTTCTAATTTTCTTGCAGATAGATGGTGAATACGGCTTGATTCCAACTGGTTTTCATTAACTAAACACGACCTCTTTGTATTTCTGAATTTTGAGCTCAAGATAAGAGAAAAAGCACCATGAATACAGCAGCTTGCTTCCAACTGGTTTTCATTTGTATTTCTATGCCTTTTGCCTATGATTCTTTCTATGCCTGTTTTTTTCCCTCTTAAAAAGTATTATTCATGAGACCATTATTTTTTAAAGTTGTTACGACGCTACACCTGAGGGCAACCTTTTTTTGACATTGACACTGTTGAAACACATTTCTGTGAGGAAAAAGAGACTTCAATGGTGGAACAAGCAGCAGTTAAAAGAAGCATAAATTATTCATGGGTTCTTTTTCTCTCTTCAATTCTGGTTCTGCATCATCCTCTCTTCCTAATTCTAGTTCTGAAATTATAAAACTAAAAACTCTGCTCTTTGGGTAATCAATTGATGTATACCCAATTTGGTTACATAGATGAAGAAATCTAAATACAAACAGGAAAAAGAACTAAGCTAAATTTTAGAAGCCGATTTCATATTAAAATTCAGTCAGAACCCACAAACGTATACGAGAATTGAAGAGAAATGATGAACCAATGAATCATTCAAGCCATGGCCACCTCAATTCCATTCTTCTCCCTTCATTTCATCTGAGCATTGACAGCAAATATCATCTCCCAAATGACAAAGAGCCATCGACATCCCATTGACAACCCAAGACATGACATGAATTGGTAGGAGCCAGAGAGAAGAGAGAGAGAACTAAGAGGAGAAAACATTAATTGGCAGGGATAAGAGTTATGGGTATTTATTTTAATTGACATTAGCAGAATTCGTTGTTCACTGACGTTGATCGTAACGAAAGTGACGTTGACTGTAACAAAAGAGAAATCCGTGTAAAATTTTAAATCAAAGAGACTATCCGTCTAATTATGCAAACCATTGGGGAGGTCTGTGTAAATACCTCAAAAAAACTCTACATTAGAAGGGTGTGAGAAATAATCAGACCTGTGGCCCAGGACCTAAATTGAGGGTTTAAATATATATATATTATTTTTATTATTTTATTATTTTTATTATTATTATAATTTTTTTTCCCTATTAGCCCATTTTGACATGAGAGCAAAAATCTTTATCAGACCCCAATAAAATTATCACATTGCCCTTCAGAAGGCTGAATCTTAATTTAGCCAGCGGTTCTCACCCAGGGTATTTTTGTCAAACCAATTTCCAACGCTCTAATCTCGAGATCGACTAGCCGTTGCAATATTCTGTAAGCAACGGGCACATCAAGCTAAAAAGGAAACCCTAATTTTTGAAATATAGAAATATATTGTCTAATCAGTGTGATACTCCACCATCGCTCTCTCTGATCAATACTCGCTAAAAATCAACGAAGCCACCATCGATTTCTCATCGGTGTTCTCTCTCTTAATAATCAACGAAGCTACCATCGATTTCTCATCGTGTTCTCTTTCTCAATAATCAACGAAGCTACCATCGATTTCTCATCGGTGTTCTCTCTCTCAATAATCAACGAAGACACCGGAAATTGATTTTTCATCGACTTCTCTCTCTTTATCTCACTGTTTTCTCTCTCTAAAACTCTATTTCTTTAATCTGGTTTTCTGTTTTGCAGGGTTTTTTTTTTTTTTTTTTTTTTCTTTTCCCTTTTGATTTTGTAGGTATCTTCTTCTTCCTTTTTTTTTTTTTTTGTGTGCTAACGTTATGGATGCAGGATCTAGGAGGATCTCTTCTTCACGCTTAATTTGCAAGACACAGTCTCGATGCCCTCTTCAAGAACAGTTTATGCGAAGGAGAAATGCTCTAGAAAACGTATGTAAAGCAGACATATTCTCTCATATAGTCATATGTACTCGATTCATATTTGGCATGAGTTTTGCCTTATGATCTAAATGTAGATGGGTTTTTACCTGCATCAAATTTTAGGTTTTGTTTCGCAATTTTATATGTAAATGTAGGGTTTATTTCTGACATGATTTTGAAATTAGGGTTGATCTACTCTTGATATCATGTCCAGATTAGGGTAAATGTTTGGAACAAGGATTCATATTTGGCATGAGTTTTGCTTTATGATCTAAATTTAGATGGGTTTTTTCACCTGCATCAAATTTTGGGGTTTGTTTCTCAATTTTATATGTGAAATTAGAGTTTATTTCTGACATGATTTTGAAATTAGGGTTTATTTCTGAAATGATTTTGAAATTAGGCTTTATCTGCTATTGATTTCATATCCAAAATAGGGAACAAGGATTCATATTTGGCATGCATTTTTGCTTTATGACCTAAATTTAGATGGGTTTTTCACCTGCATCAAATTTTGGGTTTGGTTTCTCAATATTATATGTAAATTTAGGGTTAATTTTGGACATGATTTTGAAATTAGGGTTTATCTGCTCTTGATTTCATATCCAAAGTAGGGTAAATATTTAGAACAAGGATTCTTGCTTGGTTGTAGAATTAGGTTTTTTTTTTTTTTTTTTTTTTGTAATTAGGAATCTGTTTTTAAAACAAGGGTTTTTTTTTCATAATTATATTTCTGTGGCTAGGGTTCTGTCTTAATACAAGCTCTAATTATATTTGTAGGCTTCACTGGTTCTTATTGTGAGTTTCTTCCTTATCATTGTTGTAATTCTCTTCATGCTTAATTTGCTTGGAAATAGGGTTTTCTTCATAATTGGATTTATGAAGCAATGGTTTTGTTTAAAACATTTCTTGAAATTCACATGTTTATGTGGAACTCATAAACATTTCCTGAAACATTTAGCATACCAGAAGCTACTGGCAGAAACCTTCAACATGAACCGGACCCGTATACTGGCTTTTAAGAACAAGTCCCCACTCCTGTTGAGGCGATGCCCTACTATGGGCCTGTTTGGATTGGCTTTTCAAACGCTGCTTTTGGCTTTTTGAACTTGAAAGCTATTTTGAGTAGTGTTTGGCTAATATTTTAAAAGAGCTTTTGGGCCTTAGAAGAGCGTTTTCAAAACGCTCTTCTTTTAAACATACAGGAAGCTGTTTATGAGTTTAATGAAACTTTCAATATTCCAAACGTACCCTTCTATTTAGGTAGTGAGAAAACAAAATTACAATATATGCCATTATAAAAAGGCGTCTTCTTCCAAAACCCTAGCATAACTCAAAGGACAATTTTTACAACTCAAGCACAGGGCGATCTGAAAGTTTATCATCATATTCGGTAAATATGTTGATTCCTTCTATCAAGGTCTGCTTCCCAAGTCGATCTTGATCCGTTTTCTCATCCTTTTGTATGAAAGCATGAAAAAGGGGAATATTTTGATTTACGGGAGAAAGGGCCTCTTCTGAACCAGGAAAGCGAAGAACCGTTGGTTATTGATATTAGCATATAGAAGAAAAACTTTGATGTTTGAGTTTTGCACTATGAAGTTTCGTATGCCTTTTAGGAAGGAGATGGAAGTGAAATGGCTTAGAAACCACTGCTGTACTGGTCGGAGGGTCAATATATATGTGTATATATAAGTGGTTTGGTCCTTTTGTTGTTTGATGTTCTTGGTGGCTGTTTGGTATCCTCTTTGGTGACATTTTTGTGTTCTAAAATATATAATGAAAAAGTGATGTCCTGTAATTAGATATAAGTCAAATAGTCTATCAGAGTTTGGCTCTCTAATTTGAACTAAACATCCCATCTTTGACCTCTACCAATGCAAGAATTTGGTTTTCGTTTTATTTAATTTAATTTAATTTAATTTATTTTATTTTTTTCTCTCTCTCGCTTGAACAGGCTTTCCCCCTCCATTTGACTTCATTCTTTCATTTTTCTACTTATTCAATATATTGCTGATTAGGTATCAAAATCCAATTTTTTTCATGGATAAATTTTTTTCTCAAATCCCAATTTTTTTGTTAGGTTGCTTTTACCTACCGAAATGCTTACTAGGTGAGCATCTGTTCTAACTTCAAAATATTACGTTAGGTTGCTTTTGGTATGGATAATAATTTTTCATTATCAGTGAATTTATTATTTTGTAGATAAATACTGCTTGATTGATTGAGAAAATACTGGGAGTTATTCGGAACTTATGTCTAGATAAATATTTTATTTTGTCATATTAATGATGAAATTATGTATAGATAAATATTTTATTTTGTCATATTAATGATGAGATGGAATTGGTAATTTTTTTTTAGCACAATATACTGTTGGTATGTGAAATTAAATTTGATTATATTGAAAGTTTTTTTTGTCTGTGCTTAGAAAAAGAGTTGGGTATGAAAAAACAGTTACATACTTTAGGTTACCAAATAGTCCAAAAGAACACTAAGGGCAAAATAGTTAATTCAGTAATAAAAGAGCTTCAACAAATATTTTGCCAAACATTTAGAAAAACTCTTCTGGCATTAAAAGCTCTTCTAAAATAAAGTTCCAAAACACTAACATATAAGCCAAATGAAAGTGATAACTTCTGTTTCTATTTCTCTTTTGCCTAAAAGCAGAAGCAAAAGTTATACCAAACGAGCCCAATTTCTTCTCATCTGTTCATCAGAACAAACCAACAAAGCCCTGTTGGTACATTCCCCAGGTGGATACATTTCTTCTCATCTGTTCACCAGAACAAACCAACAAAGCCCTGTCGGTACATTCCTCAGGTGGATACATATTCTAATCTTTTATTGATATGTAATGCCTTTTGAAATTCATGGTATTAAGGAATTAGTTGAATTTGGATTTGGAATGGGTACTGGAAAGTGAACAAGATGCTCCCAATATTGAGTGAACTTGAAAATTATCAAAATCAATTATAAGGATATTTGGGATATTACCAATTACACAAATATATTACCTGTTTAGTTAGAAATGTTGTTGGTTGGATAGTGTGTGGATTGTTGAATTTGAAGTGGCTAGGGTGGACTTAGAAGTTTGGTTTGATAGTTTGGACCTGTGTTTTAAATTAGAATCTCCTTGTGTCTTTTGTTTTTGCAATTAAGATTTATTGAATTGATGTTCTTAGGCATAATTCTTATAATTGATTCTGAATGGTGTGTTAATGTGGTTTTGCAGACTTCTGAGAGGACATTAGATGCTCCCGATCTGGTTGATGATTACTACTTGAATTTATTAGATTGGGGTAGCAGCAATGTTTTTGCCATTGCTCTTGGAAACACGGTATATTTATGGGATGCTTCTGATGGTTCTACCTCAGAACTTGTCACCCTTGATGATGAAAATGGACCAGTGACAAGCGTAAAATGGGCTCCTGATGGCCGACACATAGCTGTTGGCTTAAACAATTCTGAAGTACATCTTTGGGATTCTACAGCCAATCGACAGGTTTATACTCTTTTTACATATTTTCTTGTTAAATTATGTTTTGCTAATACTGTGTTTAACTATGGTGTAACTTCTGCAGTTGAGAACTTTGAGAGGTGGTCATCAATCACGAGTTGGGTCCCTGGATTGGAACAATCATATTTTGACAACCGGAGGAATGGATGGTCAAATCATCAACAATGATGTAAGAGTCAGATCACAAATAGTTGAAACCTATAGGGGACACCATCAAGAAGTTTGTGGGTTAAAATGGTCAGCCTCAGGCCAGAAATTAGCAAGTGGGGGAAATGACAATCTCCTCAATATATGGGACAGATCAGTGGCTTCTTCTAATTCCCCAACGCAATGGCTTCACAGGCTCGAAGACCACACAGCTGCCGTGGAAGCACTTGCTTGGTGCCCATTCCAGGGTAACTTGCTGGCCTCTGGTGGAGGAGGAGGTGACAGGTGTATAAAATTTTGGAACACCCACGCTGGAGCATGCTTGAATTCGGTTGACACAGGCTCTCAGGTTTGCACTCTGTTGTGGAACAAGAAAGAGCGTGAGCTGCTTAGTTCTCATGGTTTTACTCGGAATCAGCTCACTCTTTGGAAATACCCATCAATGTTGAATGTAGCAGAGCTTACTAATCATACATCAAGAGTTCTTTTCATGGCTCAAGTAATAACTTAATCTGAAATTTTTAATTTTCAGAAAGTTTGTTTTTAACAGTTACCATATGTAAGTGCAAAATTCCGCTCAACCAATAATGATTGAGAAAAATCAAACAACTCACTCAAAAACAATAAGAATAAATAAGAATAGTGTATAGAAAAGCGTAGAATTGCTTGATTCTTTTATTGGAGGTCTGAGCCTCTATTTATACACAAAAGATTGGTTGAATTATGGTAGGACTCGCATTACTTGTTCTCCAATTCTTTCCCTACAGAAATTCTTTACAAATAGAGCTCATTCCTTTGTATAATTTTCCTTGTGTAGTAGTTTCTTTCTTTGCTGTATCCTTCTTGTAATAGGACTAATTTCCTTTCAATGGATTTGGGCTATAAGTAACCTGATCCATGTGACATTACTAATGGGTTGGATCTCTTGTTTCGGGCTTGAGCAATGCTACAGAGATCAATTAGTTGTGACCTTGGGCTAGTGTCTTATGACTTTGGGCTGTCAACGAGCTTGGACTGGGCTTTGAGCAGGATGGGCCTTTGACATTTGTGATGGGTATTTATATTGCGATGACGTGTACAGTTGTCATTGGAGGGAGATTTTTCCTTCCACACTTTGCCCCAAATTTCATTGTTAATTGAGTGACGGCTCCCATTAAAGAGGGAATTGAAACCGGTTTTTTACTTTGCTTCAGAGACGGTTCGAGGACTTTCATTATTACTCCGTCGTATAAGATTCTGCAAGAGTTACATTCGCCCTAGCTGCACTCCTGCGTTCTTCATTTCATCGCTTTGTCAGGTTAGTTTTTTTTTTTGCATCTTTCTCTTCAATCTTTCATTATGAGTACTTCATCTACTCCCGAACGTATAGACATTGGGGATTCTGAATCCACACCTTCATCTTCCCCCGTTCGCATTAGGGTTCTTCCTCCTAGGGTTTCTACAGATCGTCTTTCGTTGAATCAATTAGGTACTTCCTCCCTTCCAGCCGAGACATCCACCTCTGGCTCTGATAATGTTCTTACTTATGAAGAGAGGAAAGCAATCATCTCTATTCGCCGCATCAAGTTCTCTGTTGCTTCGGTAATGGAAGAATTTGATATTCCTAAGGGAGTAGAAATTGTAGAATATCCCGAGGGTGCCGATTTTACCTCCGGCGAGGGAATTGAAGAGAGTGAGTTGCTTCTTTTGGTCGGGCATCTTAGCGCCCTCCGGTTCCCTCTTCACCCCTTCTATCATTTAGTTTTCAACAAGTTAGGTCTTGCCCCCCTTCAGGTAAATCCTAATTTCTTTCACATCCTTTCGGCACTATTGGTGCGCCAGAAATTAGAGGCTCTGGATTTGACCTTTGCCGACCTTCTGCTTACTTATAATATATCTAAGCATGTGACCGAGCCTGGTCGCTTCTTTTTTACCTCTACCCTTCATCAGAGGATATGCACGAACCTTCCTTCATCCGAGAAGAAGTGGAAAGAAAGGATGGTTATAGTTAAAGGAAAATGGTTCGTGCCCCAATCAATTACGCTCCCCATCCCGCGCAAGTTCGGGAAGTTAGGTATACAATACTTAACCTCCCTTCAACCCAAGTGTTCTGGCTGTTTTCCTTGCCAAGTCTTAATGTTTCGCCGTACTTATGAGTTTCTTGGTGTTTTTTCAGCTACATTCCCATCCTCCGCAGCTAGGAACAGACTTTCTTTTCTTGAGGAACGAGTCTGGAGTGACCCCTCGCCTATTGAGGACCTGCTAACTTCTTCAAACCTCAAGGATATTGTTTCCAGTGCTGTTGCTGCAGACCTCATGGATCTGTCTCTACCATCCTTTGATAGTTTTCCCATGACTGAGGAGGAGATACGGAGGGCTGAGGCTTTAAAAAAGAAAGCCGAAGATGCCCAACCCTTGGTCGTTATTAGGTCTACTGAGGGTGAGGTGGAGGCTGAGGAACCACCAATGAAGAAATCTCGCCTCAACCCCCCATCCTCTGGCAAGGGCAAGGTCCTTTCTAAAAGCAGAGGGAAAAAGGCTGGAGAGGCCGAACCTGAAGATGAAGTCAGGGCATATGTTCTGGCTGAAACTGGGGCTCCTTGGACTCCTTCTTTCACCAGGGCTGACAAGTCAGTCCTGCATTCAGGGGATTCTGTGATCATAGACCCTTCAGCTGCACTGGCTGTGGCCCGAGGGATGTGGCTCCTAAAGGACGAGGAAGCCATCAGCCAAATGGGGTTGGAACAACTACTCCCCTCTGCCCCGGTCCGGGCCATAGAGGTTCGTATTGCTCCTTCAGAATTATGTTACTCTTGCTTACTTATGTTTCCATCTATGCTCATATTTGTTCCTCTGTTATACAGAGTCTATACCACACCATGGCCCTCTGTGCCACTGCTGAAGCCCAATCCCTCTCCATCAAGAAGCTGGAGAAGGATCTTGACAATGCAGAGAAGAGAGCCACCACTGCCTCTACCAATCTGAAGATAGCTACTGAAGCCAAGGATGTGTATAAGAGGCAGTGAGATTTGAAGTCAAAACATAGTTTTCTAAAGACTTGGGAATTTCATCACTTGGATTTGAAAATGGATTTTTGTCGACTTCGCACACACACACTCTATACTTTACTTCTAGGTTGTTAATGGATTAACTTTCTTGAAATATTTGTTTTTATAACACCTTAGTAGCTCGTTGTATATAAAGAACTTGATATTTTCATCTCTAAAACTTTTCATTTTGTAGATTTACGGGAAAATTCTTTGGAAGTTTGTGAGTACCTTCACTAGAAACCCTCACGAGGCTATAACTCGTCCGGCAGGGGTGACCTAGGGTTTTAAGGCCTTATTGCATATGGTAAATGCAATCGAAAGTATCCTGCGAAAGTGGCACATCTTTTTGTTAATAAAAGTAATATTTTTTGTGAACTTATCTATTTTTGCCCTTCTTTGCTAGAGGACTAGTAAAAGCTTGTTTGGGGGTAGTTTGATAAGTACACAAAACCTATTATTTCATGCGCCAAAATAAGATTTTAATTAGACTTTTATATTATTTAAATATTCTTATATGCTCGTTTTGTATTTTGTAAGTGTTAATGTATGAATAAGAAGAAAAGAAAGAAAGAAGAAAAGAAAGTAAAAATAAAAGTCAGCAAGAGAAATGAGGAGATAAGAAAAGAAGAGAAGAAAAGAAAAGAAAAGAAAAGTCAACAAATGTAGGAAGAAAAGAGTGTGCACGTGAAGAAGAGAAAGGAGGAGAGAGAAAGAAGAAAAGAAGAGAAGAAAAGAAAAGAAAAGTCAACAAAGGTAAAGAAGTGGTTGAAATAGAAGTGGTCAGAAGTTAGGAAGAAAAGGTGAAGAAGTGGTTGATATAGAAGAGGTTAAAGTAAGGTGTAGCGAGGTGGTGTGAAGGAAGAAAGAAGTTAGAAGTATTGATCAGAAGGCAACAAGTGGGGATACACAATTTTGGCTATAAATAGCCAACTCTGGAGCATTCAAAGGGGATATAGATAGAATGATTGTGACGATCCTGGTTTTTAGGCCAGCGTGTCTTGTGATGAACCGTAAGAATGATCCGATAACGGATCCGGATGCGGAAGCGAAAACAGAAAACAAGACTCTAAGAAGTCAAAGTGACCTTCCATGAGGTCGTGGAACTCAACAAGAACTGATACGGAAGCAAAATATCGAAAACATGACAAATATGCCCCCAGGGGCAAAATAGTTATTTCTGAAAACTGTAGATTCGGGTGCCACCAAGCACACCGTTGGAAGGACAACGAAAAACTAATCAAGATGGACTCAAGAATCGCATGATTCGGAGTCCGAACGAAGGAGAAATGACATGACGAAGAAAAACGAGCACTTAAAGCAAAAAGGATAAATTGCTAATTATCAAGGAAGAACCGGTGCAACCGAGCACACCGTTGGAAAGACAGCGAAAAATTAGTCAAGTTAAAAAAAAAAAAATTCACTTGAATCGGAGTCCGGACGAAGGAGAAAAGCCCAAAAGAAGAATTGATGTCTCAGTGGCCCGATGAGGGGCCATGGAGCACACGGCGCCCATGCGCGAGCCCACCAGCGTGCATGCCGGCGCCCAAAGACATGGCTGGTGGCAGCCCTTGGCTGTTGCTACATTTTTTTTGATCTGCCCAGAACTGAGGCTTGAAACGGAGGTCAAGACAAATTTTTCTGGAAAAACATGAAGAAGAAACCCCTCCTTAAATCGAGTTTTCTACCCGACAGCACGAACGGAATCGAAAAAAACTCACTGTGAAATCCCAAAAATGCCCCTAGATCAGAACTGAACAAGAGGGTCATAAAGCTGCTAAATGAAAACTGGAAGCTGAAACTTCACAAGGGATTTCCGGTACCAAGACGACATTTTCTGGAAAAACATGAAGAAGAAACCTCCCCTAAATCATGTTTTCTTTTCAACCATGTCAAAAAAAGAAAATAAAACGGATGTGAAAGGTCCATAATGCCCCTAGATCAGAATATGCAAAAAAAATGCGAAATGAATTCACAAGAGGCTCAAAACACAAACGATAAGGTTTTGCCCGGAAACGACCATACACGCAAATGTAACTTACCAATTTAGATGAGCTACAATGGTCCATGGCTTAAAAATATAGCCGATACAAAATCCGACCCCCCAACGGGCAAAAAGGCAAAAATGGACTTCGAATGGAAAACATGGAATCCAAAAATGTAAAATGGAGTCAAATGACCATTTGGCCCTTGGTCACACTTCATACAACAAGATTAATAAGACCCTATGAGAGAATGAAAATGGAATTCCCATACCCGATGCAATCATGGTGAAACAATGACTTGCGATTTTTCGAGGTTTTCATAATATTTCATGAAGTTAAAAAGTTGTATAGAATACAATACACATGTCATTGGCCTCCGGCCTCATCTCATACATGTCAAATACATTGAAAAGAGTGCACTTATGTACACATTACATACATGGAATCAAATATACATATTTTGACATATAAGTCTACAAAATGACATTTCATGCTAATATTTGCATGAAATGGAAACTTGAAAGCTACACAACATCCAAGGAATGCTAAGCTTCACGAACCAAGTCTTCGTACTTGAAATATGCTCCAGTATCGTA